AAAAAAAACGCTTATATGTTGGGACATTCCCTCCACACCATACTTCAACATACTTCCAACATATTTCCAACTGGAATGACTGCAATGCGAAATTTCCACCACCATGTCTAATTTCCACAGTACAAGTTTGTCACATTCAGCAAACTTTCTAGAACGCTAAAACAACAATTGTTTCAGATACAGTCAAAGGACCACCCTGGACATTCCAAAAAGTGGTCGTATACAAGAAAGGCTCTCATTGTTTCAGTTCAGTATAAACGTTTTGCAACTGCTTAAAATCAAGGTGTTTGTTGCATTTTAACATTCTCTTTAATGATCATTAATTTTAAACAGCATGACTCTCATCAAATAAATGTCAGGTGTACGTTTATTTTTTTAATCCAATAATAATTATCATACAGGGATCATACAATCTAGTTTAGTAGGATGTGAGTAAGATAGCCTAATATGACCCTAAGGTGGCCTCACCTGTGCCAGAAATTGAGATATTAGAGAGCACACATCAGCATGCTCACCTCCCACCCCTTCCACTCAGAGCCTTGAACAGGCCAATTTTGCAGCCGACATTAAAATGTTGGCCAAATGTGACAGAAATTTTTCAAATTTCTATTCCAAAACAGAATAACATGAAAAATATAACAAACATACAAGTAATGTTTAATAAAAATGACTGCTTAAATATCAAAAGAGAAACTTTGAGTGTTACATTTGTATATACACTGTATTGACGCTTCACTATTTGTTTACAAAATTCTCTTTACGGTAGACTTATAATTCAGCTATGTCAAATATGAGATGGACCGAATCCTCACGCGAGTGAATGTTTTTTCTTCCTTCACCACCAAATTAAAACCTTATGGTGACACCTGTACTGCTAATTCATATATCATTATGCCAACAAGGCCTTGAACAGGTTATTATTCACATGGTCTTTATGTGGTCTTCTTAACAAGGTTCAACCACGCATTTTGACGACTTTCACAAACAGAAATGTAAGAAGGTGCCAACTTACCTGTTTTCACTCGCCGTTGTCCTCTTCAAACACAGCACGTACAAAAGAAAAGCAATTTGAATGCTGCTACAATAGAACCAGCCAGAAACATAACAACGCCAAAAACGATAACTCATGCTGAAAAAAAAAAAAGAAGTCGTTTGAATTCCAATGATCCGTCATATCCAACAAAATTTTCCAGATTGTGTAACTCAGTATTGTATTCATTGGATCAGTACATGTGAGAATCAGTGACTGAGTGTTTTATTATTAGAATGAGGATATATACTGTCTTCTTCAATAAGAAATACAATTCAATTAATTGCATGCTCATCTAGTAGAGGAAACAGCCAGATTTTAATAACAGAAAAAAATCCCCTTAGTTTTTAAAACATTAGCAGACATTTCCCAAATGACTTAAAGACTTGTCACTGTTCTAATGGACCGAGTTCGTAATGATATACCGCTTTTTTATGAGATCTTGCATGATCATGTGGGTGTAGGTATCAACCAAGAGCTTTTATGTCATTTCAAGCAGATCGAGAATGTATAAGCTGACAGTGTGCACATACTGGTACTCTTGAACAAACATGGAAGATTCACTATTTACTTGATTTACAAACATTCAATCCCATAGAACTAAAGGAAATTTGGGGTCAAATTTAGAGGTATCCCAACTGAACTGATACAATCTTAGCACATTTACAAAAACAAGCTCATAACTCCTAGAAAATTGGCTGTGTGGGGAGCTGATGATACCTACAGTGTACATTTTTTTTAATTCTTTACCTTAACTGACACGCTCTATCTTTGAAGGCGTTCCGAAAAAGCTCTATCTATACATGTAGCTTCTACTCTGGGGTAGCATAATCAACTAAAACAGTCGAGGTACATTGTTACCAAATCTGTAAATCTTTGCAACAACAAACAAGCTTAACACAAGCGACCCACCATGTTTGTTTTACGAGCGGTCGACAGAACAGTAAAATATGTGCCAGTGATTTATATAAAACCGCTGTAAATAGGGTCTGATCGAAAAAATCTTGCTAGAAATGTTGAAGGTAAATTACGCAGTGTTTTGCCCACAGATGTTCAAATTTCCATAACAACTATTACACAAAACAGTTTAAAGTTTTACATAATACGATAATCTTAACTAGTCACAAAGTTGCAACCAAAGAGAAAGTTTTGGTCACAAAAGGAAAACATTTAGTCGCAGATGCAACCATATCGGTCACAATTTCGAGCCCTGTCATACGAAGGTCTGTATGGTTTCTGCTATGAAGTAGACACCCTGTAAAATGCCGCATGTAAATGCTTTGCTAGTTCAGTTTGCGTTGGGTTTAAAATGTATTTTTGTTAAGTGTCACCAGAGACTGGTGTCGCTTTCCTTCACATGACTATACATCAATTTGACTTTTGTTCCTTGAACTCCATGTTTAGGTTTATCCCTCTCTTTATTGACTTTATTTTTTATCTGACACTCTGGCACCACACAATTCAAATTTTCAAATTTTTGTCTGAATAAGGCACACATCTTGGCCATCAACTACTGGTAACTTTTCTAGCGCTTCCTGTTATAAATGTTTCAAACTTTTGATCTTAAAGGTCACTTAAGTTCTCTAGTATTTGTCATTTGTCAATTCCACATCATCCACCATCCGTCTGACGAGATAATTTACGCTGGACAAACATCTGTGGATGGTTATCTGATTGTCTAAGACTAACAAATTAAGAATCTTCATGTGTCCAGCTGTGGCTTCAGGGAAGGAGCACAGTCTGCTTTCCCAGACACCGGCTGGTAATCGAGCCTACCCGTTGTCCCAACCACTTTCGTTATATGCCATAAACCACAATGTAAACAATCATTACACTCATGCTATTGAGCAGTGTCTATGATCTTGCTTGTTTCATTATGTTTGCAGGAAAATATTTCACTTTATTATATGGCTGTATCTCACAAGGACTGGGAACTACCGAATTTACGAATTTGATTGGCTAAAATTGATATTGAAAGCAGTCTAGATTTTCCCATCTGGACCGGTTACATTTTGCAGTGAAAAAGTTGCAAACTAAAATGCAAAAATATTGACTATTTTCTTCCAACAATAATTATATATTTATGGAAGTGCCAAAAAGCCTGATGAGAAAAGAAAAGTAAAGAGGATGAGCAGACTTTAACAGAATTAAGTTCAACTCGTCACCGTTCGAAAGCAAAATGTCAGCTAGTATAAACCAGTTACATTAAACAAATTAAATTTTCTTGTTTGCCACATAATAAGCATCTTATTAACCAAGCTTAGTCGGTCTGTATGGGAGAATCTTGACCAGGGTTGCCACTCACCAGAACAAAAAAAAAAAAAATCCCTGACTTTTCACTGACTGTAAAGCCATTTTCACTGACCATGCAGGTTGACTATTTTGGCCATGAATCAACAAAAATAAGGATGGCTCAGAGAATTTTTAAAACAAAATTGCCTAGTATATACGAAAACATCTAATGAAATAATTTGCTGCAATCTTAACATAAAATTCCCTGACTTCCACTGACTTTGAACAGGGATTTAGAAATTCCCTGACCTGATACAAAACTCCCTGACTTTTCCCTGACCTTAAATAAAATCTAATTTTCCCTGACTTTTCCCTGACCATACACTGAATTGGCAAGCTCTAGCAGGGTGAGTATAGTGTCATATGATGAGCTTTATGACTAATCAGAATGTCCAATCTTATATTCACCTCTGGAAATTATACTAACAGTAGATATCTCATGGATTATCGCTATAGTTTGCCATTAAAATTGCCCTTTCGTATTTGACTTTGGCACAGAATTTCCATTCAGTACTGTGCCAACGAAATTTGTCTCCTTTGTTCTCTTCAAATTGTCAGGAAAATTGTTAGAAATTTCAGAATTTTTTAGTGCTGAATGCAGTGAAAAAGCGATGATTTTAAAAATTATAAAAATTTGTGCACATGAAAATCGAGACTAATGAAAAAACAGAGTGCTGCAATAAAAATTCAATGTTTAGCTCTTATTAACCAAGCAGGAGGTCTGTATGGGAGAATCTTGACTGAGGTCATGTGTGCAGACTGAACGCAGAGGTCAATAGGGTTGCTATACACCGAATGCAAATATGGCGGACCACTCAGTCAGCGCCCGGGACAAGTCACATGAAAGCGAGGCTAGTCAGGCTTTGATGTTTTGTTTTGACTATGCGTCCCCAGAAAAGTCTTGGTTCCTCGTTGATTTGGTCCATTTTATTTCGCCCTCCCTACACGTTTTTGTGTTCCTGAATGCCACCAGAAGGGAGTGAAATCTTCCACAGCAGAGAAAGTGTTTTTTTTTCAGTTTCCCTGTCCGCCTCCGAGGGGAAAACAGACGAGGGAAAGAAGTTCAAGATCGCCAAAGGAACTGTTTAAGTTTGTTCGTTACATTTCAGGCTGGAAGATCTTAGAAAATGGGTGAGCGATTGCGTTTAGCTCCAAGTCATTGTTATTTGGCTCAATGCTTTCACTGGTTTCAGCTTTCATTCGCTTGGTTATTACAATGTCGTATTTGTCTCATGTGATTCCGTGCGAGTGGACGTGGACGTGGACGTGAACAACTTCTTCTTTTGAGACAGAGGATGTCTTTCAAGAGAAGCTTTTTTTACCTTGGGGAAGGTACTGGCCATGCAAATCATGTTGCAACACCACCAGACACCACACAAGCTCGTCATTTAAAGATTTTTCTAAGATCTTCTATCCTGAAATATAGCGAACAAACTTTATAGTTCCTGCAGCGATCGTGAACTCCTTTCATTCATCTCTATGAATTGCATTGATTTTCTATTTTCCCTTAGAGGCAAATGGTGGAAGGCTTCTATCCCTTCTCCTGGCATTCAGAAACACAGCAACTCCTGGGCACAGCGATATAAAACAGATCAGATCGACAACAAAGCAACACTTTTCTGCTGAAGCATTGTCAAGACAAAACATCAAAGCCTGACTAACCTCGCTTTCATGCTGCTCATTCTGGGTGCCAACCGAGTGGTCTGCCATATTTGCATTCGGTGTATGGTCAGGGAAAAGTCAGGGAAAAGTCAGGGAAAACTAGATTTTATTTCAGGTCAGGGAAAAGTCCGGGAGTTTTGTATCAGGTCAGGGAACTTCTAAATCCCTGTTCAAAGTCAAACACTGTGGCGCACAGTTGCTGAATGAAGTCCTCATTTATTTAGAAGACATCACTCCAAGTCCAGGATATTTGAAAGGATGGAGAATTTTCAAAATGAAAGCTGTCGCCCAAATTGTATTCGTAGTGTTGACAATCGATGTACATGTAAGATTATTATTAAAGCTGCGACTGCATATGTGTATGCACACAAACAATTGTGTCTATGTTTTTATGTTTTAGTCTGTTATTTTGAAGTCCTTGATATTCACCTCTGAAAATTATACTAAAACAATTATTTGCCTCAGGCTCAGTGAACATTGGTGAATATTCACCTCGACCTCGTCTTGGTGAATATTCACCAATGTTCACTTCCCCTTTGGTGAATAATTGTTAAATATCAACACAACATGCTCAACATAATTTAAATGTGGTATTATATGCTACACATTTGGCGGGTTTTTCATTGAATAATTTGTCCAATTACATCGTGGAAGCAGAAAGACAGAAACCTTGTTGAGGGTCATGGCAGAATTAACATTTATCCACATTGTAAGAGAATTGATCTAAAACAAACCATACTAAGCAGCATATTGCAAGTTATGGCAAATGGTTTGAACCCAGGAGTATCAGTAGTCCGTCTTGTGTGATTGTTCAGGTGAGGGTAATTCACAAAAGTACTGTTGCTAGTGACTGACATTTTGACAACCTGAGCAGAAGTCATCTTCATAGTCAAGTGAATAGGTTTTGTCAGTCAATGATGTTATAAGTCTGGTCCATTGAAAGTGATTGGTCAGTTTAGCCATGATGGTATTGGCTGAAAGACTCATGTAAAGTTTGTCATCAGTCATTGGTTGCAGGGATACCAAACTGTTCCAGGTAAAATTTAAAATCTGAAACCACATGGAAATCTGATGTCTAAACATTGGCTATGAAGCACAGTAAAACAGCTTTACTCTAGTTTATTCCAACTCATACTAAGAGGGCAGCATAACATAGTGCCCTTCAGAGGAGTGAGGTGAAATAGTTTCAAAAACCAAAATTAAAAGAGAATGGAAAATGACACAACGTCATGCCTGTCACCACAGTTGAACAGTTGATGGGCTGGGGGTTCCTAGCAACCAGCAGAGTACCCCCCCCCCCACACATTTTTCCCAGTACACCCCCCGCCCTCACCCTCACCTCTCCCCCATTTGCTAAATATCAGTTACAAATTTGGCCTCTTATTGTGGCGCATAAGTAAAGAAAAACTATAATAAAAGAATAAATTACCGTGTGGAATATTAAACACTTACCAGAACATTGAAGTTGAGCGTCTAAGCTCACCAGTTTGAACTTAAATCTGTTTCTGGGTTTTGCTGGTTTTGTAAGCATGGCAGCATGGCAGCATGGCAGCATGGCAGCATGGCAGCATGGCAGCATGGCAGCACAAAAGTTCGACCACAGCGCCTTAACTTTGCTTGCATACTTTCCTTCCTTGTCTTGTAACAAAACGAGTCGAGCGTTAAAAACTCACTAAAGAACTGTGACATGTGAAAGGTGTTTCTAACATTGAACTTTACTTAAATATGTTCAAAGGTAATCAATCTTTCCGCCATCTCGCCACGTTCGTCCCTCTCTCTCGCCGAGTTGGCATGCTCTCGGTCACGAAGCTCCCGGATATCTGTAGGTACGCACTAGGTACGCACAATCCCACAACATAAGGTAGCGATAACAGTGATTTTTCATCACGAAATTGAAAGTATGTTACATGTTTCTATCGAGTTATAGAAACACTAGTAAAAATTTAGGAGAACTCGAAAAAACTGTGTAAATACTCGCGTATGGGCTTGTGTTCCCACAGCATTCTCAGCATTTCTCTCCCAAACGTCGCCTCGTGTTCCTGTAACGTGATAGAAACACGGAGCATGTTTTCTGTTTGTTAAGTAAACATGACACAGTAGCGATATAAACATAGTGATGACCGGGTCATAACTTGTAATCCGGTGTATGATGAGATTTGCAGCCTTCAGACCGCAGACTGAAGACTACAAATTTTTTTTAAAACTAATATTGTATTCCCATTTCAATTATCGAGAGCTAACCGTAAACAGGCTAGGCTGTTCGCTATTTAGACTAACCTGAGTTAAATTCAGGCAAACCGGAGCGCTATTCAGGCCTAAATGTAGTCTGCAGTCTACAGTCAAGTTTGCATCTGCCTACACTTCCCTTTTACTCTCTTTCCTGATTTATTCTTGTTTTTCCTGATGGGCGGATGTCTAGAGAAGGCATTAACTTTTTAAATTCCGGAAGAGATATATTGATTTCAGTCTGAGGTATATATAGGATGAACATGTAGGTTGAATTTTGAGAAGGCTAACATCTGATTTAAAAAGTGCCTATGATTTGACGACATTTTGGCGATATAAGGGTCATATAAGTCACATTTGTTTTTTGTTATTGTAGCCTGCATAGTAGGCGTTTCCAAAAAGGCACGCGAAGGGAACGAAACTGCGAGCGAGTGAGAAAAATAAGGAGCAAGGGCCGGGGGAGGGGTGCGGCCTTCTCTCCCCTTTCTCGCTCATCCCCTCCCCACTTCTCCCCAATTTTTTGCTCACACCAGGCGCGCTCCTTTGCTCGTCCGCTTGGTCGATTTCTTGTTCGATCTCTCCGTCTGGAAAAGGAAAATAAACGTCTGCTACGCAAGCTATTGTTGTTGTAGTTTTGCTTTTTTCCCCGCGAACGCAAAAGGCCTGCGTTAGTTTGCGATTCGTTTTGCGTAAATCATCTGGAATTTTCTCCAGTTTTCTCCATGGTCTTCAGATGTCTAGGATTAGGGTATGGGCGTCTGTGGTTTATGAGCACACCCCCTCCCCTATGACAACCAATACTTGCCCACACAACCCAGCGTGTAGCCATTTCCGGTATGGTACAACAGATTCCATGTGTGGTTTTCTCGGCCAGGGATCATAAGCTATCATAGGATTCACCTTCTTTCTCGTTGCTATCAGTCATGAATTTTGATCATCTCTTACTAGTTTTTATTTACACCTTTGTGGTGCCCAGTGCAGCTGTGACAAGGAGACTTAAGGTACATCGTCTACCAAGTGGAATAGATGAATTTGAAGTTCTAGATGACAACATGGATAGTATATGTACCGAGACAGAAAGAGCGATGGAATTTTGTGCAAGGCATGGAGCAATTAACGTTAAGAATACAGGACCCTGTTCTAATCATGATGAAGAAACACTACAATGTCGTTGTAACTCTACTAAATCAACGTTTCTTCTGCATGAAGGAAGGTGTGTGAATAACCGCAATATCACTCGGCTTCTTCACGGAGAGGTATCGCCAGGTAGGCGTTTTACAGAATTTTTATATCACACATATATACCCTACTGTTTTATGAAGGTAATTATTTAGTTTATCATTTTTATTATCATATTTGTAGGATCGACCATAATTTGAATGCAAAAACGTACTAACGAAAAGAAAACGTGAGTCAAGCGACATATTTAGCAAACTGCACGGGTCACTTCCGGACATTGTGTTTATTCTCAGTGAATTTATTGACTGACTGAAAACTGATTTGGATCCGTTTTATTTCGTTGTACGTCTGAAAGCCGAAATTAGCGGTCAATACTATTTAAGCTTATCCCAAATACAGATTTATTTTCTACCCTAGTCCTAGTGATTTTCTTTCTTTTCATTGAATAATTTGAGCCCCAATACGGTGAAGTTGGTGAAAGCCCGATGATTGGCCGGTCAATATGTTTCAGCCATTTCGTTTGCGTTCACATGATGATGATGATCTTTAGAAGAGAGAAGGAGAAAACTTGCCCACTAGGATACTTATTTTCCAACATTTTAGAAAATGCAACCCTTATCTTCTGACTCATAACCCGCCAATGAATACAGCCGCTTCTCGTCAACATCGTCTAAGCGACTGGAAGCGATGACAGACAACCACTGTAATGAAGGCGACAGTATCAAACTTTCCCGGGAATTTTCATATTGCTGACCTGTGATTTTGCGTTCTTTTTACGGCGAACTGAAAGAAGCAAGGAAAAAAAGAAGAAAATCTGACAGTGGGTTAAAGCTTTTCAAACGACTTAATTTTGATTCCATTACATCCTCATTGTGTAGTAATAACTAACAGAACAAAGCAATCAAGACTGTGAAATTTTATAACACATCATTTTTGTTCCAATAGCAACAATGTTTTGGCCAGTTTCGAGTTTTGTAGACGATGCTTTTACGACAATACCTCCCATTGTTACATTTTTGAGAAGTAATAAATTTTCGGTTTTTACCGGAAATCCTCCACGCCTCGAGGCGTGTTATAATCATGACACGTTTAACCTCAGCGCAGCCTCGCTCTCGTGCGGGACAGAAGAAAGAAAGATCCTAGGAACGAATTGAAGGCCTTCCCTGCTGGCGGTTGAGCGTGACTTTAGCGGGGCAACCACAATATTAATACTTGAACACAGAGCACGAAACAAAAAATAAGAATGTTTGGTTGTTTTTTACAGCCACTTGCAATCCGTGCTGTTGGATCGCGATCCGTGCACTCCCGCTCGCTACACCGACGTTGTACCCGTGTCCAGATATAAATTAGTATCATTGAAGGAACAAATATTGTTTGATAGGACCTCCACCTCCAAACTCTGCAAATGCTAAAACAGATGGAATCATTACATGGGGACTAAAAAGAGTACAATAAAATACCTTATTACATGAATTAAATTTTCGCGACACGTTTATTTCGCGATTTTGAGGTGCACATATTTCGCGACACTTAATTTCCGCGGTTTTGCGAAAATTTTGTATTTTGAATCACTTTAAACTTCGCGTTTTTAATAACACACAGTTTATCTCCTTGGTAATGTTGCTTTAACATGTCCTTGACGATAACGTTAAAATTAACAAAAACGCAGCGGCGGGACTATATGTCATCCGTAACATAAAGTGAGTCCCGTAATTTTCGCGTCATGTTATGTTCGCGACACTTATTGTTCGCGTCACTTTCATTCCGCGATTGATTTAAATTGCGAAATTCGCGAAATTAACGTCTCGCAAAAATTTTATATAATAAGGTAGCAAGAAGAACATGTTGTCTAGACAGAGTTGTCTTCATGGAATAGGCTAAACGAGGGAACGAGGGAACGTGTACACCGCCCGTCTGCTTAAAGCGTTTTCTCTTTTGCTCTTCAGTTTGCAAGTTTCGCCTTGTTGTTCAAAATGGCCGTAATCCTCTTCGTTGTGAGAGGTCCCCAGTCTCCACGCTGCCAACAAACATCACTGAAACAAGGCGTTACTTGCTGTGCACTGCGCAAGCTTCGGAAGAGGTCTTCAACTGCAAGATTGACATCAACAGGTCGATGTACAATAATGCCGGGCGATGGAAACGGCTGTGGAGACTGGATCCAAGAGAACAGTCAGTGGGTGCTAAGGAAATAATACTGAGGGTTAGCAATTACCGCATTTAATAAGACTCTTACCTTGTCTATTGTAGTTAGCGTAAAATTGATTGTTTTGTTTTAAATTCTAGTTAGAAAATTGAACGCAAAAATGAATAACAACATGATTCAGTCGGCAAGTGACTGTCAGCGAACGTATTCCAAACCGTTGCGGAAGATTAACAGAAGAATTCCGAATATCACCGAGCTTGGTCGAAGATCGACCACAGCTATCAGAACTCTACCATTTTCCCCTCAAACCTTTTGTGCTCAGTTTTGCAAGGAAAGCAAGGCTTGATCACAAACTAAGAAACTGATGTGATTTACTTCAAATATCAAAAAAAAACATTGCAAGTACAAGTTCACCTCAGAAATATTTTACGCGGTAAAAACACTTTCTTTCTTTGTAACATTGCAAGCAATGCCGTGGTACAACTTCCAGCCATTTCTTGCTCTCTGTATTTAATTTTTAAATTAAACTTGATAATGTGTTCTGCGTTGAGAGCACAAGAGCTAAACATCGTCAGTTTATTTTTCTTCTCTGCTGATCTGGCTCGCTCAATCTCGTCCCGATGTTGATTACCTTAAGTGTAATTGTAGAAAAAAAATCGTTTGCTGCCAGCCAATGCTGCACACTTTGTTTCAGCAAGTGAACAAGTTGATTGACACTGTTGCTGCACTGTTGGTTCACGTGCGTGCGATGTTGCACAGTGTGTCTCCGATTCTTCATACATTTTGATTGTTCTTGATTTTGTTTTATAGTTGGCCTCAAACGCCTCAAGATACAGCGGCCTCATCGTGTCTCTAGAAGCAACTTGCCAGGTGAAGTCAGAGCTCAGTTTACGACTGCGAGGCCAACCTCCATATGACGAGCTTCAATCTTGTCTACTTCTCAAAGTTAGCGGTACCCGTTCATGTAAGTGCAGTCGAACTTAGATAAAAGTAAGAGACGATGATAATCACCGTCTCTTGGTAAAGGCAAAAGCGAAGTCAGCCTTGGTTTAAGCGGTCCATACTGCCGGAGGCGGCTTATCCCGGTTTTTATAGCATTAGGCATCTAAGACGTTTTCTACCCCTCCCCCCTGGAATGGAGAGAGGCACTAGTGTCTTGCTTAAAAACACAATCCAACTTGACTTGATCTTTTTTTACAAGTGTTTAAATGGTCTTTTAAATATTAACCTATCCAAGTTTATTATTTCCAGAGACACTGATGCATGCAATCTGAGAAATGCTGACCTGTCTTTCAAAATTCAATATTCAAGAACAAATATTCTGAAGTACTCTTATTTCCATAGAACAGTCAAAGCCTGGAACTTTTTACCTTTGCATGTCAGAAAGTCTGAGTCTCTTTCTGAATTCAAACGACTTTGCAAGACGTATTTTTATCAGTTAGATGCTAAATTAACTTAATCTTTCTTCTATTATTATTATTATTATTATTATTATTATTATTGGTTTTATTGTTATTACTATTATATTTATATTTAACTTTTTTTTCTTTTTCTGTGGTTTGGGTGGCCATTTGTAAGGGAACTTGTTCCTGTTTTTGGCTTTCCCCCTCAGCTTTATATATATGAATATGTATTTCTGTTGAGAAAATGATTAAAGTTAAAGTAATGTAACCCAATAATCCCAGGGGAAAGAGGTATAACGAAACTTCTTCCCTCTGCCCTCAGATTTTTTCCCTCCGCCTTCAGATTTTTTTCCCTCACCCTCGTGTTTTTAAATTTATATCTCGCCTCCCAAGCTTCCGAGCTCCTTTTGCTCCCTCTTAAACAGGGAACAACTGTAATATAGGCTATACCTAGCTTTCGCACTCTACCTACCATAAGAGGGTACTTGTAGGTTGTCCGCGCAGTAGGACTATAGCTTAGTGCATTCTTGCGTCATATAGACGTAGCATAGACATAGAAGTTCTTCTTGGACAATTCTCTCCAAGAGGGAAAGGCGCAGTGAGGTTAAGTTAACACTGTGTGAAGCACCAACCCGTTAGACAAGGCCAGACCACAACAGCGGGAACTCCGTGCCTACTCTTTGCGACAAGTGTGTGGGTTCTTTAACGTCCCCTGCTAACCATGTAACACTGACGATGCAGAGGATGGGGCCTACGGTTTATAGCCCCTATTTGAGAAGACTTATATAGTGTACTGATATGGGTATTTTGTCCACAGGGTCATTAAAACCACATCAGATGAGCTTCACTAAGTCAAACCAGATGAACTTCGAGCTTGCAGTGAATCAGAGCAGACATCATAATGAACGCCAAAACAAGACAGACTCAGGGGGGAATACGACAGTTATTGCACGGCCTACCATACAACAAAGTCCTACAACTTTATCAACCGTTGAACTTGTCACAGACAAAGTTGAAATTCACAAAGCTGACAGCGCCTCGTTATACAAGCAATTGATATATTTTATGATTGGGGCGTTCCTTGGTATCTTATGGACTCCAATAACTATTTATTTTGTGTTTCAATGTGCGTCTCGTCACACCCGACTCCGTACGCGCCGGTAAGTTGTTTTGCATTCAGGGCAGGGCTAAATCAATCCTCGTCCCCAGAGCCTCCGTTTCTGTATGTAACGGAACGACATCTCAAAACGAGTGAAACTGAGGGCGAGAATGAGCTGTATCACGATCAGATTTCAAGTCATAAGTTTTGTGATGTGAATAATCTGGCACCTTGGAATCGGGAGAAATTTTGAAACATAAGTTTTGTTAGTAATAGGACACTACAAAGATAATAACAAACGAGGGTAGAGGGGAGGAGGTTTGGTGAAACTTATGAAAAAATGATAGAAAATAAAAATACTATTACGTTTGGCCATCTTAATGCAGTTTTTTTAATCAATAAAGTCTACTCAGTGAATGATTTTAATCTGCAAATTCGCGATTTAACCACAATCTCTGACTATGGTTGGTTTCTGTTGGGGAAAGGAAAGGCAGGGAGGGAAATACGCTCGTCCAGCGGCATCAAAAACACGTTATATGTTGTTCTGTGGATGATTGTACATTGTTTGCCTTAGAAAGGGGTTCGTATATGACATAGCTAGTCATTATTTATTGTATCTCTTTTATACATTCAAATTACATGTAACCATGTTGTTTTAGAAATAAATTAGTTATATTTCCGTTGAAGTTCCCATTGTCATATTTACATACAAACACGCTACTAACGGCAGCACTCACTTCTCAATGAGAACCCCTAGTATTATCATTAGGAGTCAAAATACTTCGGTTTCTCCTCTCTGATTTATTTCATGTCTTTCCTTTTCCAGGAAGATGAAGAAAGCGCAAAGACGAAGAAGGAGCACAGGTTTGTGTGATTTTCTTTCTTGTTCTGTCTTTTTCAGTTCTTCAACATCAACACTACCACCATCAGTCATCATCATCATCACACTACCATCACTAACGTACAATCTTGATAAGCGTGGCTTTGAGCCAATCAGCGTGTCCGCACGGTCTGACGGAAGAATATTGCAGGTGTTGTGTCGTTAGTGCTTGTAAAAACTTCAAATCGGATTTCCTCGTAGCAGGAGCCCATATATACTCTGTTTATAATAACTGTAACTTTCATTGCAGATGAAACCAATAGTGACAGTAATAAATCTAGTCCCAAAACGGGCGAAACAAAGTCCATTAAACAGAGTCCTTCTCTCCCTTCTTCGCTTTCTTCCTCTCTTGTATTCATCAATTTCGTATTTAATTAAACCATTGTATATGCTATACACAAGTTTTCTCCATTCAGGCTGGTTGTCTACAGCTTTTCTTCAGTGACCAAGACAGACATAACAGTCTCAAAAAAGGACTGAAAATTAGTTTACCTTGCGTTACAAGAGCATAACAAGAACATAGATAACTTAGGAATAACAGTTACTTACCATTACCAAGTTTAATATTTGAACATTATCTCCGAGCATTTTTTCATTTAAAATCCAGGTATTATTTCCAAGGCCCCTTTAAAATTAAGACATTAATTTACCAAAATGTTCTTACAGGAAATCCAACATACGAACGAGGTCCGGACACTAGCCTCGTTCTGATGCCAATGGCAGCTGTCAATCTCTCAGGATCCCCCGTTTCCGCTGTGTCTCCATATGCTGACGTCTACCAGCCACTAGTTGAGAACACCAGGCCTCACAGCATCAATATCTACAATAACTTGTACGAGAGCTTGGGCAGGCTGCGAGATAATCCAGAACTACGTCGGTTTTCTCATTCCTTGTATCAGGATTTGACGAGAGCTAACGCTACAACCTCAGGTTTAAATTCTACGTATCAAAAAGTGTTTACCCCTGGTGTAACAACAGCGACCGTTTCTTTAAATTCTTCGCCTGGGCCCGTTTACGTTAACATTTCTGTAGGAGCTTCACACGAGCAGGGCGACTCAGGAACAACGAGGAAAAATCAAGGGCTGCAATGTTCACCTGAACTGTTACATAATGAAGAATGCACTGTAGTTGGCACAACATCGAGTGTTTTGACCGTAAGGTGTCAATCAACTGCAACGTCATCGCAAGAAGATGAAGGGAGGGCTGTAGAGTCAGTTGCGCACTCTTCGTCATTGTTATCATTATCTTCGCTAACATTTTATGAAGAGGACGATACTTCAGTGGTAAATGACCAAATAGGGCTGGAATCTGATTTTGTGGTCGAGGATGATTCGTGTGAGGGAGATAAACAACATAAGAAAGTTGATACTATTGATAACATGTCTTCAGAATCTGATACAGCTCGTGATAGCTTACATGACAGTACATCAGAGTGCCGGCTGAGCGGGTTGGAGATTATTATAGACTCTGACTGTAGTGAGTGCGGCAGTGAACTCGAAGACGCTATTGATGAAACACAAACCCAGTCACAACCGTTTTACTATGTACTCGAAGGCCCTAATCCAACAGAATGTTATACGTGAGCGCCATGTTTTCACTGCGTACAATGATCAAAAGAAACAATCTCGTCTCAAGGGGCCACCATTTTGAAAATGCTTGTTTTGTTTAAAAATGATGTTGCCTGTAAATGCCTGATAATGTTAATGGTTTGCATTGCATGAAAATTCGTTGGTTTCTATTTCGTGACATTGTGTTACCGAACATTGCGTGACAAGAGGAAGATATGGCCAGATCGAATTTGTTACATTAGTTATCTTCTGATTTTCAATCATGAATTCCTTTTTTTCTTTAAAAAACATACACTGCAGTTCTTCACTGCAGACCGCGGCAGCCTTAAAGACAGTTGATCACGTGTTGCAGACAAACGCACCGCATGATATTTTTATTAAACCACCGCGAATGGGTTTGAAAATAGGCTTTGGGTTATTCTCGCAATAGCTTCAAGTTCTACTCGTGAAAGACTGGAAAGAGTAGTAAGCTATTACCGCAACTTAAAATTGTAAAAGGAGTCAAGTATTTTCTACGTTGCAGTTAAGAGTATTTTCTAGAATGTAGTTTTCTAGCAAAGTTTATATTGAATTATAATGAAGGATACTCTAGCTTCTAGTATCACAGTCCTTTATCACAAAATTCTAGCCTCAGTTTTGAACCTCCATATGATAGTTACAGCGAATCTCTTCCCTTTCCTAAAGATCCTGGAGACCAGGTTACCAATCCTCCTTCCTCTTGCTAACGAAGTTCGCGGCCCGTACTTTATTTTCTTCCCTCTGTTAAATAACTGACTGACGTCATTCAAAATTTTGAGCCAAAGAAACATTTTACAAGTTCATTTTATGGAAGGACAAGACTCAGAGCGGATCAACACAGATCTAGAGAGCTGCCTCTTCCATTCAAGGACGAGGCAAAAACAACAGTTGCCATTCTTATTTAGGGCCCAGTCCACACAAGTCTGAAGAAATTTGAAAACTGCATTTTCACTCTGAAAACGTATCGTAATAATAATAATAATAATTATTATTATTGAATAATTTCAGGGTTTATTGAACCTCTCGGTGCATTTTTAAAGTCAGCTCTTACAATAGCAATTGAATAATCATCTTGTGTCGATCGTACGGCGTATGTTTTCCGTCCACACTACGCCGGAGAAATTTGAATACCGCATGAAGCTTTTCCCCTTCATAGGTTATGAGGCAGAATGGTTGTGAGGGAAGTTTGTTGACTGCGATGGTGGCGGTCGCTTTGACGAGGATCGCTTGTGGTTGTGGTGAAATGCTACTCCTTGCCTTTGTTTAAGCACTGCTGGTAAAAGCGAAAGACTACAACTGGAAATCCTTTGGACTGAAAAAATGCTTCCATTTAATAATGATAATGATATTGATATTTAAAAAGGGTGACACCAAAACAGCTAACACTAAGTTAATTAGGGTGGCGCTCGTTTAGTACTATTTGCAAATTGATTAAAAGTTGATGAAAGATAAAAAGTTTTCAATTGAATAATTTCAGAGTTTATTGAACCTCTCGGTGCATTTTTAAAGTCAGCTCTTACAATAGCAATTGAATAATCATCTTGTGTCGATCGTACGGCTGAGGCGATAGTTAAATGTTTATTGTTTTGACCGGCACAGAGACCAAGGGACATGCCTTATCTTTCTTTAAGATATCGCTCGTAGTTGCGGTATAAAGTACACCATGAGAGAACGGGAAGCGGTACAAATGCTGTTTGAACATCAGCACCTCTCTACCCTCCATACGACCAAAGAGCAACTTATCCGTTCAACCTTGATTTCTATAAGACAGTCAAACAAGATAATTGACAAACAAGAATGCCAAAAAAATATATTGTTCTTGTGGTATGAGAAAAAAAAAAGCAATGTGCACACCTTGTGGATCGTCTTCACCTATCACAAAAAGTTTCTGCTCAGACTTGACGCGAGATGGCTGCGTGATGTTGTTTGTGACACAGTAGTTAAGGAGATTAAACACTTCGGACAACTCTTGGTCTGCAAATTGTTGAGCTCGGTCAATGTTGTATCTATTGCATCAGGAATTGGGTAGAGGTAGACATTTAAAGTGGACATCACTACTGCTAGCTTGTACAATAGAGCTTGTCAGATTCACAAAGATTGCATCGTCTTTCCCATTTATGTTGACAACTTTCAATGGATTTTTTTGTAGTTTGGAAATGCAATGCCTGCGCGACATTTGAGTATGGACATAGTAGTACAACTTTCCAGATGTTGCCTTTTTGATAGGTGATAGGGAGTGAATGAAACCAACTTCTTTATTGGGAACAGAAAAATATAATATCTATGAGTAATATGTTGTACAAGTTTATGATGTACGTGAATTAATAGAAAAGGATAGAAAA